CAGTTCTTATGGCAGCCCACGGGGGAAATAGTGCGCGAAATGAAGTGACTATGCCGCCCGAAGATGCAGCTTTTCACGCCTCCCCTCCGAAGACCATCTTTGAGGTCATCAAAAGCGATATGGAAGCCAGGACAGCCGGAAGAACTGAATATGATCTCTAAGAGTATAAGTTACAAATAATACTTGGTGGCGGAAAATAATGTGCACATGGTACTAAATTCCATTTTAAACGTGATTAGAAACAATTGTGCATACTTACAATTGAGCCAAAAACACTGCTGACACATAATGATAGTTCCACCCATGAATCTCACAAAATTCCCGTCTTAGACGACGTTTTCAAAAATGTCCCCATACAAAAAATGTGGTAATTACCAGTACCAATTCGCACTGCAACACCAAAAAATAACTTGGAAAAATAATTTTTTTCTTGGTTTTTTTGGAAAAGTGGTGGCTCTGAAAATGACATACATTGATGGATCCACCTCATGTTTTCTCGCTGCGCCTCATTTTTGTTGGGTCAGTATTTAAATATTTATTTTATGAACAGTATCAGCCTAATTTATTTTCTAAAAGGATCGGATTTCGATCCATGAACTCGGTTCACTTCCTTTTGCCCTAAATTGGTTCCTATCTGATGGGGGACCCTCTAGCAGCCCGGACTTTAACCCTCCAGTTTTGCACGTATAGTGAGTGGTAAAGCAGCACTAGGGAGCCAAATATCAAATTTCTAATGATTTCATGAAAAAAAGCTTCGGAAATATGGGTGAATTTGGACGTTGACCACCTCGGCCTACTATGGACTAAATGAAGGAACGAGTTGAGGCCAGTATCAAAACTGACGACCGTAATCTCAAAAAATCTCTATGATTATAAAATGCCCTGGTTCATAAGAGACATTTTCTTTCAAAAGCGCATGTTAAAAAACTTGAGTGGTAGCGTTCTTTATAGGTACGTATTTTTTTGCCACCCTGAAGAGTCTATTTTGTGCTACCCCTCCCCTTCCTCCTTCCAGAAAATACAGGTTCTGCCTTTTGAAAAAGCCAAAGCAACCGTGCAGAATTAAGAGACCTAACCATTGCTGCACTTTATGCTTAGCGGGTCCAGTCTGGATTTATTTATTTTCATGTATTCCCGCGCCATTTTCCTCAA